CGGTAGCCTAAGAGCTGATAACCCGTCTGATAGCTTGTGGTATTAGTATTTTGACCTGTTTGGTACTGGGAATGTTGGAAACTGTATATTTAAGTTCATGATGTAATTGACTTATTCATGACTGGCATTTATAATATTTCCTATGTGGATTTTCAACCGATCTAGATGTAGATATCAAGCATGGTCTGGTGCGACATAGCTTAACTGGATAGGATACAGTACTGCTAGTTGATGAATTTGCCATATTCACATTACTTAGACAATTAAGTAGTATGAAGTTATCAAATGTCAGCTGGAATAAAATACTAAAAATTTGACACATCGGCTAGAAATCCCACTATCTAAGTTAACATTTAATAATTTAACAAAGAAACAGATGAGCATATATATTAATGTACAAAGGAATATCATTTATGCTCGAATCAAAAGGTTTGCAATTAAATGAATTGAACATGACTAATTTCAAAGTGAAAATTAAAAAAAGGGTGTGGTTTCTATAAGGTTGCAACTTTAAACAATCCAATTAAGGTGCACCTTCAAATTTTATCATAACATGTAATTTTGATGTAAAACATTCATGGGATTATCTTAAAATCTATTTTCATCTCTAATTATAAAATTTTAAACTATAAAATTGGTTAAAATCAAGTAGATCTATAAACATTTGAAAATTTTGAAAATGAACAGTTTGGATAACGTGTTACAAGATGCACTATTTTTAATACTCAAAATCTTTTTTTTTTTCATTTTCATACATCTCGATGTCGAGATGATTGATTAGAGTTTTTAACATTACAACAACCTTTTCCGATGGATTTTTGAAGTGCATCTGTAATTCTACATTTTAAGGTTCCAACCTTATGTAAACTTTTTCCTTAAAAAAAATAGCTCCAATTTGTCTATTCTAAAAAATATAAATCTAGTATTCGTAGCAAGAAAAGGTGCAAAATAAAATATTGACATTTGAAGTTTAAAGATGGAGGGAGGGAGGCAGAGAGGGAGGGAGGCAGAGGGTTCTGAAACAATTCATGAGGTCGATAATTGACCTACATTTGTACTATGATTTTCTCCCCCTCAATTGTTCTTCAAAATCATCGGCTTTTTTACTTTTTTTTATGAACTTTGTAGTGAGCTCCGATTGCTCCTGCTTCTAGCTGGGTGGTTGATAAATATATGGGAAAAAGTTTATATAAGGTTGCAACTTTAAAATGTAGAATTAAAGATACACCTCAAACATCCATCGGAAAATGCTGTTTAAGTTGAAAAACCTTCTAATTGATCATTTCGATATTGAGATGTAAGAATATGAAAAGGAAAAATGATTTTGAGTCCTAAAAATAGTGCATCTTGAAACACATTATGTAAACTGTCTATTTTTAAGATTTTCATACGTGATGTACTTGATTTTAAGTTTTTAACCATTTTGGAGTTTAAAATTTTATAATTAGATATGAAAATAGATTTTTAGATAGTTCTAAGAATTTTTCATACCAAAATTACATATTATGATAAAATTTGGAGGTGAATCTTAATTGGATTGTTTGAGGTCGCAACCTTATAGAAACCACACTCAAATATATGCGAATAACTTATATGCATGAATTCCATCGTCAACATTAGAGGCATGTTGATATTGGCACTTGAAGCTAATCCCTTACCATTTTTTTTTTTTGGTCTTTTTATGTTTATGCTGCACGCTGAGAAAATACACGAGAAACCTCACGGATAAATAGTATAAAATTTACGGATAAATCAGGAACTTTAATGATTGTACTAAACATAGTACTCATAAAAACAATGTTACTGAATAGGTAGTATGGATGATAATTCAGGAAAAAAAACTTACCCAAGGGATCAGTAAAATTTTACCGGAAATGTATTGATAATAGTAGATTTTTGGTTAAGATTCAATTTTTAACAGATATTCTTTGATAAATCTGTTAAAACATTTACTGAAAATCAGTAAATTTTCAGTATTACAAAAATATCAACATTATGGATTATTCATTGTTATTGAAAACTCAAAAAAAAAAAACGAAAAATAAAAAACCCTTAACTAAAAAATCAGCAAATTTAGTAATAGCATTGAAATATCAGCATTATCGATAATTCAATGTTACTGACTAATCAGAATCACTGAAAACTTACACACAAAAAAAGTAATAATATCACCCACAAATCAGTATTTAACTTAAATTAAAAAATTCAACCTTGTAGACACCCATTTTTTAATTTGGTAAATTTCTAGTATTTTTCCACATTAGCCCAAAGTACTTTCGACCATAAAAATACCATGATCCATAGTCCTCATTCCATAATCCCTTATCTCTTTAAACCCTTATTTAAATTTGAAAAATAATCCAAACAAGGGATGAAGATCACGTTTAATTTTGAAAATAGGCTGATAATTATCCAAAAATGCGTGGAAGATAACAAGAATCAAAATCCCGTGATTCTGGTGGACTTTGACCAAAGCGACACAAAGTGTGTTGCTCATACCTGATGGCCCAAAGCGACACTCTCTGTGGTTTCTAGATCCTTTTGTGTCTATTGATTATATTTGGTCAACAATAGGTTGTCTACACAATTTGTGTCATCTAGTCAAGTTTGACCAAAATGATACACTTTGGTCGCCCACATACTCACCCCCATAGCTTCAAAATTTGAAGTCTAACCAACTAGATAAGCATCCCTAACCTTCTCCCAATCACTCAAAGTTCTATAAAAGAACATGAGTCCGACCTCTTATGGGTTGACCAACAAGTTTACTTAGAGTCTATGAGTGGAGATAGATACCTAGAATCCTAGGATCATAAACTCCTTAGAGAGACCCAAAACTCAGCTTTTAACCATAAGAAAAGAGGAGGACAAGAAGAGGGTGCCTACCCTTGGTAGGAATTGAGTTTAAGACGTAGCGTTGCAAATTATCAAGCGCAAACCAATTAAGCCCGAGCTCTTTTTCTATGTTAGTTTAACTACGTTTCTTTTGGTGCGGAGATCATGCCCGCCCCGCCGATGATCTCAGGGAGGATCTGTTAATTTGGATAGATCAACCCCTAGATCAGAATTCGACCGATCCCACGACGTCTCTACTATTTTTAATCAACAAGTTTATAGTGTTAGATCAGGGTATTTTCACTTGAAAATCTCTTAGATTTGCATTGTAACTAGTTTGGCACCCACCGTGGCGCATGTCGAGTTGATTTTCGCACCAAAATCGTCTTTCTATTTCCTGTTTTTATTCCAAAAAACCATAAAAAAGTGACTGAGTTCAAGTCTAGGATCTTTGAGTTGTCAAGATCCCTGACAAGCAAAAGAGACACACTTTGTGTCACCTGGGGTGCTTGTGCGACAAACTTTGTGTCATTTTCTTCAAGTTTCCCGAACCTGTATGACAGACCTAGTGTCTTAGAGTAGTTAGCCCAAGTACCCAAATTTCGGCCCTTTAGGTTGATTTGTGGGGGCGACAAACCGTGTGTCGCTTTTTCCAGCGACCCTGAAATGTTTGATGGTGACCCCAACCCTGTGTTATAGGTCCCTTTGATCAATTTTGCGGTCTTTGAAATAAAAAATAGTCACAAATCGTGCCACCCGAGAGTAAATGATATTAGCTTTGCAGGGTACTTTATTTTTTTTATTTTTAATTTATTATTGTTTATCATCTACCTAAAATTTATATTCAAATGAATTATTAATTTATTTTTATCTCTAAAGTGTTTTTATCATTCTTCTATCTTATTACATTTATATGCATAGGATTAAAAGATATCTCTAACTTTAGTGAGTATCTAAGCATATAATCCATACCGTTCTAGACATCCACAAATGTTTAAGCATATAATCCATACCGCTCTAGAAATCCACAAATGAACCAAAGTATCGATAACCAGAATATGGGGGCATGCCCCTTCATATTAGAATAAATTAATGAAAAAACAAACTTCCAGACTATGGCTTTTCAATTAGCCAAACATAAGCAGAACAATCTTGATCTTCTAAATAAAACAAGGGCTGGGTTTATGGGGGACAAGGAGTCCTATCCTTATCTGGGTTTGAGACGGTGGTGTAAAGGGGGCCAGGGAGTTGCTCAATCCCTCCAGAGAAGAATACATGTTACATACGCAGATGTGTTAAGGGTTGGGGACACGGCGGCTAACATGACGAGGCGATGTGGATAAGAGCGTCCTGTACAAAGGTCTTCTCTGGTTCAAAACTTTTAGTCGATCGAAGCGGGGAAGTGATTTTGAAAGAAATGAAGGAGGTGGGCTTTGCAGGCACGTTAAGCTACTAGTAGTATACAATCCTCTAAAAAATATGAGTAAGTGGTTTTGCATAAGGTTGCAACCTCAAACAATCCAAGTAAGATGCACCTACAAACTTTGTCTTGAGATGTAATTTTGGTGTAGCAAATTCTTAGGATAATGCCAGAATATATTTTGATATGTAATTATAAAATTTTAAACTTCAAAATGGTACAAATCAAACGGATCTATAAACACATGAAAATATTTAAAATGGATGGATTAGATAATGTGTTGAAAGATGTAATATTTTCGGGACTTGAAATGTCCTTTTTTTTTTCATAACTATCATTTCCACATCAAGATAATCAAATTCGATGTTTTTCTAATACCAAAACAACATATTTTCAAAAGATTTTAAAGATGCGCCTTAATTCTACATTTTAAGGTGTCAACCTTATACAAATTTTTCCAATGTTAAAAAAACGTTTATATATGTCCATGAGAAAAGGCTATTGGGAAGCTAAAAAACCCTCAATTGATCACCTCCACCTTGTGATTTTTGGATATGCAAAAAAAAAAAAAAACAAAAAATTTCATGTCATGAAAATAGTGCACTTTGGAAACACAATATAGAAGCCGTCTATTTTCAAACTATTTAATTATTTATAAGCCTGCTCAATTTATGCCATTTGTAGAGCTTTAAATTTTATAATTAAGTAACACAACTTTTCGTACCAAAACCACATCATTCAGCATAGTTTTGAGGTATCCCTTCCACAAACCTAACCCAACTGTTTGTCTCGGAAAGTATTTTGATAAATATCCCTTCTGTCCACACTATTAACCAAAATTCCTAATATGTCTAAGTGAGAAAAACCCTAATTGTTCTTTCTGGTGTGTGCCGTTGGCTCAAGAAGTCTCGCCCCTGTTTCTTCGAGATCCTCCTGAAAATATCGCCGGAAAAAGGTTTTCGTCGAAGTTCCTTTTGAAAATCAGGTACCAAGCCGAAACTTTTCATCTGTTTCAAAGTTGGTTTCCTGATTCTATTCACTGAGCTTCACGTGTGTTTTTCGATTCTGATTTCTGAAAGCGACCAATGCCTGGATTTTGGTAATTTATAGAGAATCACACGATATATAGATGATTTAGTGGGTTTTTTATTTTTGATTTTGATTTTATGTATTTTCGATTACGAATTTATGTGGCGATAAATGAATATCTGAGAGATTTTCTCACTTGTGAGATATAGTGCATTTCTTTTATTTTTATTTCTATTATTCAGGGAAAGGAATCATTTTGAAGTTTTGATGACATAGGGAAACTCTGTAAGTTTATGCGTTTATGTAGGTTTTACTTTATCTCGTAAAGTAAATGTGAATTCCTTCAATTTACTTTCAGAAGATGGGTTTTTCTATTTTCTAGTTCTATTTTAGCTATTTGGATTTAGTTAGTTGCCGTATATTTGTTTTTGTTGGAGCCAATGTGGGTAGTCAAGTAATGGTTTTTTTTTTTCCAAACAACCTATTCCTCTTTTTCCTCTGTGTTTATAGGGTTTCTTACTGTGTTTCCTTATGCAATGAGCTAGTGATAATATGTGACTTGACCCTATGAACCATAGATAATTAACTAATAACTAAAATGAGAATTTAAGATGTGTTTGCAAGAATTTTCGATTCAGTTGGAAGGAGAAAACAGCTTTTCCATCTTCTAAGAGTACTAGAATTATGATTTTGTAATCGAAGCTAAAACATCTTTGCCATCTTCTAAGAGTACTAGAATTATGACTTTGTAATCAAAGCAATTCCGGGCAAAATCATATCACAACAATAGAAAATGTGTATCTATAGATATTCTATGTTGAATATTATGGTTGCACCATCCATGACCTTTGTGAGAGAAGCTAGAAACATATGATAAATTTATTGGGTTTTTTCCTGGTACCTCTTTTATCGTGTGTGTGATTTGGGGAAGATGCAGCTTTGGAAGCTGCATCTTTCCGAGGTTCAGAAGTGGCGGCTTCCATGGGGGCATGGAAGCACACTAGCCCCATTTTCATATTATTCTGGAAGCTGCGGGAAGTAATGGCTTCCAAAGTACCATAGAACTTCCCAAAATTAAACACATGAAGTTTTACAATTCAATCTTGACCTCAAATTGATGTTTCATGGTCATGGTTGTCTTCAACAATCTTCTAAACAGTCCATTTTCTTTTTTTTCCAAAATTTGCTTTCATGCCTCCCATATTCTGAAGGAATGGTTTGTTAATGTGCCGGATTTTCTGCAGTGAAAATGGCTGACAACAAAGCCGTTACTATTCGGACTCGAAAATTCATGACAAATAGACTTCTCTCAAGAAAGCAGTTTGTGGGTGTTGACCTTTTTACTTTATTTCATTCTTGTTTTTAACTTTTGAGGTCATTAACCAATTGATTGTTCTCTTGGTTTTTTTGTTTTATTTTCTGCAAGGTCATTGATGTTCTGCATCCAGGAAGACCTAATGTATCCAAGGTATTTCATTCCCATGTTCTATATGTATGTTTTTTCTTGGAAGAAAAAGAGTCATTTTTCCTACCCATCTGGAGAAAAGGTAAAAGAATCAATTTTGCTGCAAACTATTCGTTGGTGTTTTAAGTAGTCGTAATGGTTATTTTGGAAGGCGGAGTTGAAGGAGAAGTTGTCAAAAGTGTATGATGTGAAGGACTCAAACTCGATCTTTGTATTCAAGTTTCGAACCCATTTTGGAGGTGGTAAGTCTACTGGCTTTTGGCTTATATATGATACAGTTGAAACTGCAAAGAAGTACGAGCCCAAATATCGTCTTATACGAGTAAGTTGATGATTTTTTGTCACTTAGTCTACTTGTTTGGAAGCTCCTTAAAAATTCTTATTGATATTGGGGTTTTTCCCCTTTCTTCTTAAATTAGCCTTATTGTATTGCTTCTTTTTTGTGTCCTAAAGAGTTCGATTCTATTTGGGGCCCCAAGGACACATTTCTACGTGTATATACACATAGATGTGAGTAGGCATGGATATGTAGCACCCATATATAACTTGAACATTTATGTATACATGCATGCAATTGCATGCGGATACACAGTTACGCACAATATCACAGTTACCCCTCAGATTTTCATTACCAATCATTTTATTTATGAATCATCGCACGCACACATTAAATGTCATAATCACCTATTATTTTCTACTGCTAAACATACTTACCCCCATGAATACCCAGGTTGGGGTTGGTAGGAGATATTCTTGAAATGCATTATATGCCTCCCATATATGTTATATCAGTGTTGTAAAACTCCGCCATTTGACTCAGAACTCACCCAAGTCAAATCTCCTTCGTCCTAGTGTATCGGTACTGATGCAAGTACTCTGAATTATTACTAAAGCAAGTACGTTTTACCAACTATTGTAATTATTATGTTATGATATTATTTGAAGTTGTAACCCTGCTCATAGATTTAGATTTTTATAAACGTAAATACCTGCCTTCCATTTATATATGCATATTCTTGTGTCATGTATAAGCATCCCTTTTTTAGAAACTTAGATATGGTTTTCTAGCCTACTATCTTTAACACATATGAATTTGTTTTCGTATTTGTTACAATTGGTTGTGAGAGGGAAAGATGCCCTGATGATTGGGTTTTGGGATGATCAACAAACTGACAACGTTGATTGGGTGGTTTTCAGGAAGGGGCTTAGAAGTTGAGGTTCTATTTTGGGGGGGGGGTCAGAGATTTTGTTTGGAGAAACTGAAAATCAAGTGTCTGGTTCTTTGGTAAGTGGTGGTGCAGGGATGGGCAAGCTTCTCTCCCCTTTGGTAACTGGGGAAGTTAGTGCTTTGTTGGGCAGTGGTTAGTGGATTTGCATGTTGAGTGATTTAGGACTTTCTCTTCTATGCATCTAACGACTTTCATGGTAAACCATACTATTTTTTTTTCCCAAAATGTTAGTGAGGGATTTGAGCAGGTAGCCGACCTGTTGTATTTCTGTGTGAAATATTATATACAAGGAAATAAAGAGACCTCAAGAGCTCACTATGTACAAGTGTATTTATGTTACCGAAGTCTCTAAGCCTAAGAGGCCAATAGCCATTGATTTTGTCAAAATAAAGCCCCTGCGTTTGATTTAGAAAGACTTAAATCATGATATTCTCTCTCTCTAGGATCCTATGTTATAGACACGGAGTCCATTCTATGATAACAAATTGGTAGTTTTCAAAATAGGCAGAATAATTTGTTCATTTTAGAAGTAAAATGTTTTGATACTTGTTTCATGAGCGAAATAAAAAGGGAAAATATCTCCACACACCCTATTTTTAAGTTTCATTTCTTAATAAACCCAAAGTTTTAAAACCTATCTTCTAACCCCTGGACTGACTTTAGTCCCTTTAAACATATTTTTTAGCCGAAACAAATATAGAAAAGACATGCTCTATAAATCCCATCCTCTCTCTCTTCATATTCTCCAAACTTCTCTCTCTCTCTCTCTCCCATGTGACTTTCCCCAAACACCTTCTCTCTCTCTCTGTATTTTCCTTCATTCTCTCTCCCTGTGTTTTACCCCTCTTTCACTCTAAATTTCAGACTGAATTTCATCTCTCTTAATTTCAGACAGAATTTCATCTCTCTCTCTCTCTCTAAATTTCAGTCCGAATTTCATGGCTATTGGAATCCACCAAAATTTTTGTTCAACTTGCTCTATTTTCAGGGTATATAACTCTCTCTCTTTGCATTGGCAAATAATTTCTGAGTTCTCATCCTTTCCCACTATACTCTTTGTTGCACACATCCACATTAGAAAACATTCAAAATTGAAGATACAACAGCTCTAAAACATCCAAAGATATTACAAGAGAATCAAAGATGGAAGAGTGGGAAGGCAAAATGGCAAAACTCAGAGGTTCTCTACCCAATTAGAAGCTCTCAACAATAACAATAACAATCTTATTCCTAACACTAATACGAATATCAATAACACCACCAGCACCAGCACCACCAGCACCACCACTACCACCACCAATAACAATACGGCTGTGGTGACAGCCATAATTTTGGTCGGAAATCAAATTCCGGCCACCCAAAATACTTTATCCAGTGATTTTGCAGTCAACCAAAATGGTGGAATAAGCTTCTCTTCGGGCTCATCATCAGATTTTGGCCAAAAAAACTCGATTTCTGGCAATACCCACAAGCGAAAATACAGGGAGATGATGGTATTTTTTAGACCCTCATGAAGCAGGGGATAGAGAAGCAATCGGGGAATTGTAACAGAAGTTTTTGTAGACTAGAGAGAAGAGAGAGGAACAGAGGGTTATGAGCGAGGAAGCTTCGAAGAGGCAGAAGATGGCTAGGTTTAGTAATAGCTCATGAGAGGACTTTATCAGCTTCCAAATCTCAGTTATGCAGGAGACACGGAAATATAATGTAATAATGGCTGCATCTTTGGACGCTGATCTCAGTTATGCAGGAGACACGGAGAGAGAGAGAGAGAGAGAATGGGGAAATATGAAGAGAGAGATAAGGGATTTGGGGAGAGTCAAGAGGAGAGAGAGAAGTTAGGGATCACGTGAAGAGAGAGAAATGATAGGGTTTAGAAAGGGTATGCCTTTTTCAGATTTGTTTGGGCTAATAAAATAGGTTTAAAGTGAGTAAAATTAGTTTAGGGGGGGTTAGAAAATATAAGACCTAGGATTTCTATGCCCAAAGATAGGTTTTGAAACCTTGGGTCTATTAAGAAATGAAACCTAAAAATAGGAGGTACATAGATATTTTCCCCAAAAAAAACTTCACCCAAGGAAAAATTTGACTTATCAGGGATGAACACTATCGGTTTGATTGCCTTTTGCCATTGGAAACCTACAATGGGAAAAGAATATTTATTAATTACATGATGAAAGCTCTAGAACACATCATGCAGCGTCAAGGCATGTTTGAGTTGATTCAATTTGCATTCCCATCGACTAGTCTAGTTGGTTTAGTCAGACCATCCTTGTGTCTGACATCTGACTTGGGACATGATGAGCCTGCTTGGGCTGCTTCATGGACATTTGCGGGTCTACTCCGAGTGAAAGGAAAGAAAGCACATTCTTTTAATGCAAATTATGAGAATTTTTGTGCTTCAGTATAAGTGTATCATTTTCGAGGGATATTTTAGACTCAATTCTGACAAAAGCAATAGGGGAATTAAAGGTTCTGCGGGTAGGTGAACTGGTGGAGTTCTTAGAGTTATGGGGGCAGATAGAGTTTTTAGTTTTTCTTGCTCTCTTGGTCATACCAGTGTGATGATAACAAAAGGTTCTAACTTCAAGCAATCAATAGCTCTTTGTGAAATATCTCACGTGGTCCTTAATTATGAAACAGATGGCTTTAGCCATTTGAAATTCTCAAAAGAGGGTTATCCTTGTAGGATACATCAATTATACATCTGGATTTTGGCACGTCAAAGCTCGACTTAGATGGAAGCAATTGATGGTTTTTGTTTCTGTTGTGCAGGTGGAATTTGAGAGATCATGGTGGTTGAAATGTTGGTCTTTTGTGGGTCCCCTTGTGTTTGATTGTTCACTATTGCAGCAGTGGCAGAGTGCCCTCTTCAATGGACGAATGGAACTCCTGTGAAATAGTTATTGTGACTCTTAACTATGGAGGCAATCCCTTGAGGGCCTTCTGTGGTCTTTAAAAAGAGTGGTGCTCCTTGTGGTTTTTATTAGATGATGACCTATTTCTCTGTTTCTTGAATTTGAAATCCTTATTATCAAGAGAAGTTCAAGATGATTTTGACATGTATATACGGGTCAGTGATCCGTACAAATTGCCAGATTCTTTTACCTGACTTATTATAAAAAAAGAAAAAATATTAGTTATTTCCAATTGATAATTGCATTCTGATTTTATCAGGCCTCAATTGCTTATGAGATATCTAAAGGCTTCTTACTCCAACTGTATTAGAATGTCTAGAACATTCTCTTTGTTTCAAACAATAGTTTCTGCTAGATTTCTTTTGAGTAATCAGGTAGAACCAATTTCTACATGAAATAGGGAAAGGGGCTGGGGTCGTGGTGGTAGCACCCCACACCTTAGTCACCATATTGTGGTTTTCATTCCCACCATTAACACGACCCTACTAATATCTTCAAAAAGCTAACTCCTGATCTACTTGAAAAAACGGGTAGGGGCCTGTCTTCCCCACTGAATTACCCAAAAAAAAAAAAAAATCTACCTGAAATTTGTTGTCGCAAGTATAGCACTGTCCAGTTCTGGGATGGAGTATGGTTGGTGTTGGAAGAGAAAAAGACCTACCACTTGAGTCATGTCATACTCTGGCCGGTCCCACTGTCTTTCGACACCATCCATTTATGGATCGACTGTGTTGCTAGGAAATACTATAATTTATACAGAACTGTGTCCATCCTGATCCTTCATCTTCTTTTAGCTGAGAATTACCAAAGTGCAGGTAAAATCTCTTCCTGATCATTCTTCTTCCCTTTTTACCTTGTCCTCCAGCTTGGGTTTTTTATCCATTCAGAAGCCTAGGGGTGGCAATGGGTCAGGTATGGGGTCTGGTCTTGCCGGACCCGGACCTGGACCTGGACCTGGACCTGGACCTGGACCCGAATAGCACGAGATGAACCCGTGACCCGACAGGTCCAGAGTACCCACTACCTGTATGCGTACCTGGAATGAGGTTATGGACCCGGGACCTGGATCATTACATGGATATTCAGGCTGTGAAACCCTAGACCAGAAATTCCAGCTAAATTCAGGCCATGAAACCGAAACCCTAACCAAATATTTGTGGGTTCTCCCTGCAATTGGATCTCAAAGTGATGGCCGTGAAAAATGGGTCTCAAGAGATGGATTTGGGTTAAGCTAACCCTGATAAGGAGATTCAAGAGGCTCATTTGGAGAAGATTGGGGATTGGGCATGGCCTAAGTCTTGTGGGCAGTAGAGAGAGGAGGAGCTTGATTAGCAGGGAAGGAGAAGATGTAGAGAGCTTATAGGTTGGTTAGGAGAGAAAAGAGCATATGGCATTGAGGATGGTGGAGTAAATGGTAGTGGCGCTGAATCTAGCTGTGCCATCAACTATCTTAAGGGAAACAGAGCCCACTGTTAGAGAGAGAGAGAGAGCGAGCTAACTTGCAGTAGGGTTTAGAGTGAGAAAGGTTGGATTAAGTAGCAGGAAAGTGATGCAGGAGATATTTAGTGTGAGAAAGCCCCTCTAAAAGAGGCTTCTCTCTCTCTCTCTCTTTGTCTATCTATAGACAGGCCAATTTCCTGTAAAATAGGCCTTCTCTCTCTAGGACGACTCCCTCCAAATGGGGAGGTATACATCAGCAACAACAAGATTGAGAAGAGGATGCTGGGATGGATTCACTAAACAGGCTCTGGTACAAGAAGCAGCAAAAACCCTCTTCAATTTGCCCAATGCTGAGGCCAAAGAGGCATCGCTCCTTGCTCTGGCAGAAGCTACAAGGAACAAAATAATCAATCTCGATGAATCTCGCTGTGCTCAATCTCACTGTGAGGAACGAGAGAACCTCGAGCTTCTCTCTGTTGTTCCTCTCTCTATTTTGGGTTCCTTTTCTCTCTCTCTTTTACTTAGTTAAATTAATGTATTTTTTTATACATAATAAATCTGGGTAAGGGTCCCGGTCCGGGTCTGGGCGGGCCCACTAATACCCGTACCCGAGAAACTTCGGGTCCATTTTGAAGGATCCGGACCCTACCAGCGGGTCCAAGGATTGGGTCCATACCCGGATCCGGGTCGGGTATACCTGACGGGTACCGGGTCTGGTCTGGGTTCATTGCCAGCTCTATAAAAACCTCAGAAGCCTTATTTTCATACCTTGGTGTGTCCCTGCTCCCTCAATGGTATCCTACCATGTTTGTTCTCTGACCATCTGACCTCTTCCTTCACTTCCACTTAGCATCTTTTTGTACTATAAAGATGGAAACAAAAAAAAAGAAGAAAAAAAAAAGGGACAAAAGGAAGATAGGTCACGGCGAGAGAAAAGTTGCAATAGATGTTATGGTGTTGCAAAACCCCTTCATGAAATTAAGAACTTCTTTAAGTCAAATATTGTTGTGGGTATAATTTTGAACTAGGAATGTCATTTTGCTTGCATATTGATTTACTGATATTGTGCTCAATTACTTAATATTGACATAAAAAAAGACTTCATTTTTGGGCTTTTTAGAAGAAATGTGGCACTGAGAATAAAATTAGGATTTAGGACATTGAGGTGGAGTCAAGAACTGCAAGCAACAGGTAATGTGGTCCCGCCCTAATCAGAATGAGGAAAAGAAGAGAATGTCGACCCCTTTTGCCCTGGGGATTTGTCGTAGAAGAATGTCATGGAAGAAGACCATCCTTTTGGGTGGTTGTCTGGTTCTCCATAAGTTTCTTGGTTGCTAAGTGAATGTCACTTGACAAGTTATAAGAGGATTGACTGGCTAATTATCAAAAAATAAAAGATAAAAAAATAGAGGCTTGAGTTGCAGGATTCTTGGACTGAAGGTGTAAGATCTGGAGCACTACCTCCCTCCTATATGTTGTTCATGACATTTTGCAGTTTCAAGGTGATATAAGTCATAAATGTTTCATGTGTTCTACCTATGAGTTAAGACTTTGGAGTCTAGAAAGATTGATCACATAATGATTACAGTTTATATGCTTATAGATGACCCGACTAATTGTGGCTTATATTCTACCTACTTATGCGTGGCTTAGTTAAGGGTATACATACAGGTGATTTAATTCCAATTGAAACAAATGCTCTTGAAATTATGCGAATACTAGTAGCCTAAGAAAGGGTTTAGTTTCCTTTTCCTGGGCCACCTCTTCCTTGGCTTCATATATGCTTGATTTCTTTTCGGCTTGAGTGATCTGCCTTGGAACTTAAGAATACTTTCTTCCACTGCTGTCTTTCACTGGAGTCTGAAGCTGTCGCCATATTAACTTGTTTGTGGAGCTTCATTTGGTGGTAGTGGGTGGACTTTCCATCCATCATAGACCCCTTGAACTTGTTTGAACACATGATCAGCTAAACTCGGAAGAGCATTTCATTAGAGAAATAGTTCTTTATCGTTGTGTGTGTATCCATCCGTGTGTGCACCAACATGAGTTTGTCTTTATGATTATTTATTTTGGTAAGCTAGGCGAATACCACACAAGGGGATGCCCAATGCATTTTCAATTCTGTTGGTGTTACATGAACTATAAATGCTTGCTTGTTGATCATATTGGAAATATTGATACAACTTCATGTGTACAATTTGAAGATTGCCATCTGAATGCCATCCATGGGAAGGTACAAAAACATACAATGTTCACAGTATATCTCCCACAAAAGGGCATCCACCATCTGATCTACCTGACTGATGCCAGAAGTGGAGGCATTCTGGTCTGCAATGGACAATATGGACTATGAACGGACCAATGATTTATCTCCACCATCCATGGGGTAGGATAGGTAGTACTGCCATTTTGTGGATGGTATACAAACTGGACAATCTCATTGTCTGTGGTAGTCTTTTCCTGTATGTATTGTTTCTCTTATTTCTTCTGTTAGTTCTGCTTTCTTTTTGTGGATCTCTGACTAGAAAACGTGGTATATGGATAGAATGGACTTGCTACCAAGGTTGAGAAATCGAGGAAGCAGATGAAGGAAAGGAAGAACAGGGCTAAGAAGATCCGTGGGGTCAAGAAGGTGGGGCATACCCTCCTTTCTTGGGATAATTATGAATGTGCAAATCTCTTGTATTTGTTTCTACTCTTTTTTAACTATCACCTGTTTTTTTCCCTTTTAGGATGTATATGTAAGTGTTTTGTGCATCAGGGTCCACACCTAACATTTGCACTGTCCAGTTGTTTCGGATATTGGATGGTGCAGATCATTCTCTACCTCCCCTATCCGGATCTGTCCAAATTGAATGGACAGTGTAGTGGGGCATGCACCATATTTGGCTTTGTCAGGGCCCGTATACAAAGTGGGTCCACACACATGTATAAACAAATGAATCCAAATAAATGTTTTTGCTTGTTCTTCTCTGCAGACCAAAGCTGGAGATGCAGCCAAAGGTGGGAAGAAGAAATGAGGTGGCAGCCCTACCGACTTCAGCCAGTTTTGGGAGCTAGATAGAAGTTTGATTTGTGGAGATAAATTTGACTATCAGAAAAGGAAACTGAGAAAAGTGTAGTCATATTTATTATACTTGGGGGTTTAATGCATTTGGATGGATGGTGTACATTTGAGAAATGTTCAATTTTAACATTAAGGATCTTCTATCTAATAACTAATATAGAATTATAATGAACCATTGGGTCATTGTTCGTAGAATATATGAGTATGAATGGCTGTTCATCTGCTGGTTGGGCCAAAAATGGCTGTAACTATATAACAAATATTAAATGCCAAATCTGTGTTTAGACAATGTATAAATGTGTATGTCATAAGGTATGCATGGCGGACATCCACCCTAGTTCACGCAATTGACAGTGGAGATGATTCACAGCCCCCGTGACGGACTAACGGGCGCTACAATTCAGTCTCGGGGGCAGACAATGCATTCTGTATTATGCAGCGGGCACATTATGTGTAAGCTATGCTTGGCCAATGGTTGATTGTGGCTGATGGTTATTAAATCCGGGCCAGGTTGGGCTTTTAATGGGCCAGCCTGAATTGGCCTGAAAAGCCCGAAATTTCTGTCTCTGACCAGGCTGGCCTTTTAACGGGTCAGCCTGAAATGGCTTGAAAAGCTCGAAAATTTTCTCCCCAAATCTATCTGTGGGAACAAGAGAAGTAGGTCTCTCTCTCTCTGGGAACAAGAGAAGTGGGTCTCTCTCTCTCTAACGGCTGCAAAATGGCATGGTAAGAAGCTACAACTGCAAGGATGGCTGAGAACCTCTTGACTTGAGAGTTCACGACCACTCTATGGATTAAGCTATCATAAATGTCAGTGCTTCATGCCTGTGAAGGTCGTAAAATATTATCACTCCGAGAGAGAGAGATGCAAAGGAAAAGAAATAAGCAAACTAGATCACCTCTATAAACCCTGTCGTCTAATTTTTGATCTCTCTTTCTCTGACCCTTGCAGTCTTATTTTCTACTTCTGTTTCCCTCCCCATAGAACCGCACCATCATATTTTTAACCTCACCTCTCTCTCTAGCAAAGTATCTCCCTCTGACGAGTTTCTCTCAAATAAAGGTGAAGGTGAGAAGAGGGAGTTTTGGTAAATGAGTGGGCAAACAGGGCTAGGGTCGGCGGTGGTTTTACGACGGAAGGAATTTGCTTGATGATTTTCTCTCTCTAGGAGGCTCTCTCTCACTCTCCATCCGAACCTCTCTCTCTCTCTCAAATCCAAAAGTCACTGTACAAAAATATCCAAATCTCCTGTAATTTCTCAAGTGATGGGGTTGGGGCTTCTCACACGAAGCCAAAGCAAATCATTTTCACATCAGTGGTGGGTTCTCTGCAATTGTGGAGGTAAAAAACTAGAGAGAGAATGAATTTGGAGTGAGAAAAATTTTGAGAAAAATTTTTTTTTAGAGAGAGAATGAATTCTTAGAGAGAGAGAGAGGGCCGTGGGGGTGAAAAACCTTTTTTAAAGATAGAAAGTGAATGGATTTTGAGAGAAAGGGGGATGGATTTTTAGGGAGAGAGAGGGCCCGGTAGGGTGGGGAATGAGGTGGGTGAGTGGCCACTTGTCTCCACCCATCTTCCCAATACTTTTCATTTCTTAGTGTTATTTTTGGTTTCTAAAATTTTCAAACATGTATAATATTTTGATAGAAATTTTTTGTTTGGCTTACAAACAAAAACGTTTGAAGAGAGGTTTCAATAAAAATAAAAAAAAGAAAAATGAAAAAGAAAAGAGGCTTCTAATCGGGTCGGAGCCCAGACCCAAGCCAAAACGCACTTCCACGCCGAGGGCCAAGCCTTAATAAAAAACAGTTTTCGAGCTGGGCTGGATCGAACAATAATGATTTCAGGCTGGGCCAGGCTGGCCCGACCCTGGCCTGTTGGCAGCCTTACTTATGGCTAGTATGGGATGGCAGGTGGGAGATCTTCGTCTAGTTTGTATTGGGCTTTTGAAGTAGTTTTCCTCAATGGAGTCTCTCCCTCTCTCTCTATGCGCTTAGCATTAGAGTTGATTTCAATGGTCATGACACTGTAGGCCACAATGCAGGAATATGAACCCTAGACTGTTAGACTAACTGGTTTCTTTTGCTCATTTTACATTCTTTAACTTTAAGACAGTATTATTCATCACAGTTAGGAACTTTGCTTAACCTCTAGGTGGTGTGTGGAAGCTTTTGACAGTGGATTCTAAACAACTTTGACACCATTGAGATGAGGGTCAGCCATGGTGCGATCAGCTTGCCAGGGGTTTGTCACAGACAGAGAGAGAGAGTATAATTTCGTTGTGTTAACATCATTGATATCTTTCAGAGGAGCTATTTATATGAAACAATTACATTTATCATTCTACCTCTCTACATTCACATGGGTGCGATAGGCCTGCCCCCGAAAGAGGGCTCTATGATACAATGGTAAGTATTGGGGAAAAAAAGCTTAAGGCCCAGAACTTTCATTTGGATCTCTCACCTCTCTCTCTCTCTCTCACTATCTCTTCTTTTGAAATTGAAGTGATAAAAAAATAAGAAGGAAATTCTATTCTACTACGAACTGTAATTTACACACTGGATCTCCATATTCTTCCCTCCAAAGAGACAACGATAATTGATACATCGTCATGGTATCTCCGACGATCACCATGGGGAATTTCCAGTAACTCGTGCAACTCCATCCCTGTAGAGAAAAGTAAATTTTAGTCTTTTGTAAAGGTATGTTTGGATTTTCAGTTTTTGTTTTTTCCCTCTTTTATGTATTTGTGTGTGGGTGTGAGTGAGTGTATACCAGCTTTTTTGGCTGCACGGCAAAGGACTTCTTCAACCAGGTGTTGGGCGGGATCTCCATCCGGTGAGTTGTCAATGAAGAGTTCGACTTCAGCAACTGCCTCCTCATTCGTGAAGTACTGATAAAGCCCATCTGAAGAGAGAATCATGAACTGATCCCTCGGTCCTAATCTATGATGGAAGAGCCATGGCTCACAAGTTATGTATGGATTCTCACCCACATAGTCTATTCTGAACATCTCTAGAAGCGCATCATTCCATTTAGGCTGCAACAATGAAGAGAGTCACCACACCACATCCAACTATGCCCACCATGCATGCCTATATATATAATATGTGCATTGGATTTTGATTCTAAGCTTAAACTCGGATACATGTATGTATGTATGATGGATGAATGCATACATGATCATATTTTCCTTGTAATGACATCTGATTTAACATCAATGACTGCATTAGATGGGAACACACATCAAAAACTTCCATCATGAGTTCCACTCCCTGGTTAGTTGTCCACGAAGAAAAGCAGATTGTTGATGCGTGTGGACGTTGATGCACATAAAAATGTAGTAGTTACAAACTCGTTATATAATGTACGCTAATTATAGAGGAGGCTAGATAATAATTATTTGATAATGTTAGTTATAGAATACATATGCCCCGATAAAAAGGCTGGGTTGTGTTAGATAGACGGCCAACGTAAAATTTTGTCAAAACTTATCATGAATCCTGATCTTACAATATCATGAGTTATAGAATACATATATATATATATATATATTTGTAATGGCTTCATGGATCTATGTAACAGTGTAAATATTTGCCATGAATAGGTGCATAACATGATTGACAGGGTGCATGTATGTATGCGTATGCATGTATGTACATATGCATATTTTTCCCTTCAATGTTTGAAATAAATTTTGTATGTAAGAAAGCATAAATGGAGTATGCTTACATGTACATGAATCTATTCAGAAAATCATATGGATGTCCATACATGCAGGTCTATGAATGAGGATGAGTGATGACACATACATACATGAATATACATATAATTTAGGTTGGAAGGCATGCAATGAATATATGGTAGGTCTATGTGAAACTCATGCATGATTTGTTAGTTTGTCTTAGTTGGTAGTGGGATGAATAGAACGCCTACCTGTTTAAGGAAGCCTGCACCAAAAGCTCTAGTGACTTTGAGTGAACCTTTCACCCTCCCATTGAATACAGCGCAGGAGTCATCCTTATGCTCTCTTCTAATTCTGTCGACTTCCTGATAATCGATACAATCGAATGAAGCTCAGTGAAAGGACGGAGTTTTAGAGATTAAGAAACCAAACAGGTGATCTCTCTATAACCAAAATCTTAGAACATGGTAAACTTCAGAATTTCATAAACTGAACGGACGACCACCCCTCTATCAATGACCAACAAGATCAGAAAGCTCAAAATGATGAAATTTTAGAGTTCATTTAACTAAACAGGGTATCTCTATCTCTCTTTGATGAAAGGACTAGAAAACAGGGAATCTGAAAACAATAAGCAGAGAAGCATATATACTAAAACAAGCAAATTCACAATAAAGTTGCAAGCTTTTTGTAATCATTTGCATCAAAGGAAGAAGAATGATAAAGGAAAAACCCTCTCTCTCTCTGTCTCTAATAAAAAATTAATGTAGAAAAACCGACCTCTGTAACGCAGGTACTGTGATCCAGGGTGAGTTGAACTGCCTCCAAACTCGATTCTTTCTCTCCCAAAAACCATTCCTCTTGCGAGCCTTCGTTGATCGGTCTCCGAGCCAGAACGCCTCTGCTATCCCCAACATTCATCAAAAACACATCCTCCCCTTTCATCAACATGACCAAAACACAAGATCCCATTAGAGCGAGCTCTGGATTCTCCATAACATTCTCATCAGCCATCTCCAAATACCCATATTCTGTCTTCTTCAAAGCCTCTTCCAAAGCTCTCAAAACCTCAGATTCATCGACTCTCTCCCCTTTCGACCGGCAATGCCCTTTCTCTCTCATCTTCTCCACTGCAAAAACCGAGTAAGAAGAGTTCTCCAAAACCGCTTGTCTAAATTCACCTTGTTTCCCATCTGGATTTTCCACCGTGTCCGCAAAGCTACAACATCCATGAGATTCTGACCATAAAAGACCCTTGAGCTCTCTATGAACAGCTGAATATAAATTACAGAGCAAGAAATCAGGAGCATCAGGGCCATTAAAACCATCATAAATCCCAACAAAAAGCCATCCGTGCTCCTCTGATATTACCACATGAACTCGATCTTCTCCTGCTTTCCCTTGAGCCCACTGTAAATTCTGGCTCTCAAATGAATGATCGTCTTCTAAGCTGAGGTCACTACTCAAATTAACACTACTACTTATTGTTGTATCACTCTCTTTCATTGAATTAGGGGTTTTCAAATTACCCAAAAAAAAAGAAGGGGTTTTCAGAACTTTAGGGGCCATGACCAAAGAATTAACAGATTTAAGAGGTGTAACTATTGAGCTCTTGCTTCGAGCTAGAGCTCCTTTAATGGCCTTCTTGATCGCAGAGCCATGGCGGCGAAGATGCCTAGCTCCACTATGAGAGAGGGACCTCTGAAATTGTTCGATTGGACCCGAACAGAAGTTTCGATCAAGAGGACCAGAGAGAAATCCTCTCTCTATAGGACCCGAGAGAAACTTTCGATCACAAACCCCACCATTAAGATTGCCAGAAAGAGCACCCGAAAAGCTTTGTGGGTGAGCAAGCTGCAGAGGAATAGAGGCGAAAGAATCAGAGCTCTCGAAAACAGAGGATCGATCAAAGCGAGAAGCTTGCCATGAAGGAGCAGTAGAGAGAGGAGTTGAGGTATTGGCACTAAGAGAGGCTCCTGAAATCGATCGAAAAGTAGTTGGGGCCGGCCTCAAATTATTTGTAGTTGGGGCTGGCCTCAAATTATTTGCTGTTTCCTCAGAGTGAACTTTAGAAGACGAAAGTCCATTGGGCTCCGGCCTTATATAACAAAAGGAGTGGCCTAAACCTTCGTCAGAAGAGGGAAGAGGCTCTTCTGGTTTTGACGGCCGGATTCCAGTGAAACAGGTGCAGAATTTGTTGCCCATGGCGTTTTCGGGTGAATGTTACAGGCCAGAATTTGGGATCATCGCCAGAATTTAAAGAAACAGAGACCAAAAAACCACAAAATATGACAAAATGGATGAATTTAACAAAATGGATGGAGACGCATGAGCTAGAAAGTTGAAACAGGGAACTGAAGATTGTGTTTGTGTAAATGGAATTGGAGAGAGAAAGAGAGAGAGTTGGGCCTAGGAGAGAGGGACTGTGTTTGCTCTGAGTTGAGGATCACTGCTTAATGGGAGTTGGAGAGACAGAGACAGAGAGAGAGAGAGTTGTTGCAGAGGAAGGGTGGAGAAGAAGAAGTGGCGTTGACATTTTTTGCTTTTAGTGTTTTGATTTTTTTATTGGTTTGAGTTTTTAATTGGAATTGTCCATTTTTCCCTTTTTTGTGTTGGAGTACGCTTAAAGGGTTAGCGTTGACAAGTAGTAACCCCTGGGGTTGGTCTACCTCTCAACCAGACGGCAGCTCCACTATTTAATTCCATACCCAAAAGTCAAACAATCAAACCCTAACTTTAAACCGTCCGACCTTTCTCCAACTTCCTCTACTTTCGGATTTGGGCCGGGCCGGGCCGGACCGGGAGGCCTGTTCTAAACAACTAAGGTCCGAGAAAAATCGAACCGAAACCCTAACCTCACACGTTAAATAGACCAATTCCTGGGTGATAAAAAATGTGTTTAAAGAATATAACAAAATTTAATAAAGTATAAAAATATATTTAAACCATGATTAAACAAAGCACATCGAAATAAAAAACAAATAAATGATTTTAAAAAATCAATTTGTGTCCAGAGGCATTTTTAAAATTTTTTAAAAGATAGAAAAAATGTAAAAAATAAGCCCAATAATTTCTAGTGCCAAAATAGTAAAAAATATTAAAAAAATATAATACAAACAAAATTTTTTATTTTTTGAATACCCAGGCGGTTCACTAAAACAGGTCCAAATGAGAACTGCCCAATGGAGGGTTGACGATTTGAACCACCCGATCTTTCTTGCACTGGTCTAAGCTACATACTATAGCCAGAAAGCTGAGCTAGGGCCAATGTTTGCCCGGTTTCACCAAGCCATTCTTTGATTTTTTTACATATGTTTTTGGCCAGCCCGGGCCCTATGGGGACATGGGCAAGTTAGGGCCACGCCCGGCCCGTTCCATTCCACCCTAGCTTTTAGGTTAAGGCGTTCTCTTACGTTGCCTCTTGTTTCTCTTCCATTCTCTCTCTACTTCCTAAATTAACTTCCTCTTTCTCTCTCTCTCACTAACTTCATTCAAATCTCTCTCTCTCTCTCTAACTTCATTCAGAGCCAAAATCGTGCAACTGCTATTTGAGGATTATGACGACTTTTTTGAATTGGATTTTGTTTCTGGCTGATGACACATTAATTATTTATTATTTATATTTTCTTGCCTGTTATTTTGACTAGAGTGTACGAGGGAGATTTTATGAGTTATTAAATGCATTTTTGAGTGCAGGAAAATCAATGGTGGGGATCGGTCCTTTCTTTGTGTATGATGCGCGTTGTGACCGTTGGATTGGCTGGTAGGGTGCGTGGTTACGGACATGGTCCACATCAGCCGTGCGATTCATTTAACGCTTCGAACAAGTCAACGACCCTCTAATGCATACCAATCGAGTTTCGCCACGTGGATGGACTCTGTTTCTGGGCACGTGTCACCTCACCCATTAGGAATGTGAGAGAGAGTGAGAGAGAGGGCGCACAAGGGCTAGAAGCCAAATAAATTGAATAAATTTTAGAGAGAGAGAGACGCATAAGGGCTGGAGAGAGAAATAAATTGAATAAATTTTTTTAGTAGGATTCTCTAGAGATAATCAGAAGTTGATAAAAAAAAAAAAAGAGGTAAAAAGGATTGGGGTTTTTCTAGCGAGAAGCATTTGAGGCTATGACTTTCCTTTTTTTTTTGTCAAAAGATTTTCTATTTTTGTGGCAGTAAACTATTCATCTAATCCATCGGATAAAATTCATTCTCGAAATATTTAAAAGATCTTAAATTTTGGGGATGTAATTTTTAGAACCCATTGATGTTTTTTGGATTTTAAATTTTGGAGATATAACATTTAGAACCCATTGATCATCCTCAAGAAAAGAACAAGAATTCCTCCCACCCTCTATTTACTAAAGGAAATCACAAGATTGCACAATGACCCTTCAATTTTTAGAAGGAAAATCTTAGAAGTTAAGAATGCAAAACCTTTTTTTTTTTTTCTTCGAGAATAATCATCTAATGATACTTCGATCCCGAAACATTAATTAAAAAGAGAAAAAAATTCTAAAGTGGCTATTTTGTCCAAGAGAGTTATTATATAGCATGCTCCACTCTATACTTGCTATCTATTTTTTTTTTTCTTATTTTTTTTGAGCATGTGGCACTGATTTCTTGAGAGAGAGAGAGAGAGAGAGAGAGAGAGAGAGAGAGAGAGAGAGAGAGAGAGAGAGAGAGAGAGAGAGTAGTAGTAGTA